CTGGGGCCCCTGTGGCCTGAGGGCATGTGATCCTTCGGAAAACCTGGCAGCAAGGAGCAGCTGGGTTAGAGTGAGGGCGGTGCTGGGGAGGGAAGCTCCATGTGGGGAAGGGCATAACCCGAGCTCACACAGGCTCCCGAGGGTGGCCCCCCACCCTTGGGGCCCACTGCAGGCGGCAAGGACAAGCTGGACTGGCCCAGAGCCCAGCAGCCCTAGCCTTTGCTTCAGCCAGGAGGCCCAAACATCCAGCTCCAACAATAGGCCACATCTGAGGTCAAAGCTTGGGTCCAGCAGCCCTCATAAGGGCTCCCTGGGAGGAGCAGTGGGCAAAAAGGGATGGGGGCAGGAGGCGAGGCCAGGGGTCCTCTGGGCAGCAGGGAGCCGGGGGAGCTGAAGAAGGCAGAATGCCAGATGGTGAGGGCCGGCAGCTGAAGTCCTTGGCACCTGCCCAGGGGTGGGCTGGTCTGCCCCAGAGGGGCCTTCCTGGCCCCACTTGACCTGAGGACAGCTGGCAGGGCTCCCATGCTTACGTGGCATCCATGGGGCCTGGGCAGGGACCCGAGAGGTCAGGTCTGGATGTGCCCCCAGCTCAGCTGCAGGGGCCTGGGGCCAGTTGGAGTTGGACAGGAGCCCTCGCCAGCCCGGCACAGGCTGTGGCTCCTGGTGAGGTCAGCATCCCACCGTCTGGTCCTGCCTACCTTCCCCTGGACAGACACTGTCTTCGTTTGTGAAGCCCTCACAGAGGCCATGTTTTCAGTGGCAGGGGAGGGGGACAGGGCCTGGAGCAGGACAGCTGGATGGAAGGGGCCTCCCCCAGCATGCAGGGTCCTCACAGACCCCAATCATCCTAATAAAAAAGTACTTTTTTCCCTCTTGAAAAAGGTTCTAGTTATGATACTAAGATTTTATGTAAAAAGTGAACAAAGCTCAGGTTTTCAGTCATCCTCAGTCGGTTTTCCACATCTAAAACCCATGCCCTGACCCACCCAGACTTGAAGACAGGTTCCTTCAAGGCTCTAGCTCGGGTTCTGCCGAGGGAGGAGGCAACCACTGCCACCCCAGAAAAGGCTCTGGCTGGAGTCTGCCACTCAGTTTGGGACTGTTCAGCCTGTTCCCAGATCCAGTGGTGGCCCCCCAAAAATACATCCACCTGGAACATCAGAATGCAACCGTATTTGGAATGAATTTTTGCAAATATAATCAAGGCAAGGATTTTGAGATGAAATCACCTGGGGCCAGGCGTGGTGGCTCACGCCTGTAATCCCAGTACTTTGGGAGGCTGAGGTGGGCGGATCACCTGAGGTCAGGAGTTCGAGACCAGCCTGGCCAACACGGCGAAACCCGGTCTCTACTGAAAATACAAAAATTAGCTGGGCGTGGTGGCGGGCACCTGTAATCTCAGCTACTTGGGAGGCTGTGGCAGGAGAACTGCTTGAACCTGGGAGGCAGAGGTTGCAGTGAGCCGAAATTGTGCCACTGCACTCCAGCCTGGGCAGCAGAGCGAGACTGTGTCTCAAAAAAAAAAAAAAAAAAAAAAAATCATCTGGGATGAGGGTGGGCCCTAAATCCAATCACAGGTGCCCTTGCAAGACAAAGGAGAGGGAGATTTGGGCACAGACACAGAGAGGACAAGGCTGCATAAAGCCTGGAAGATTTGAGTGACGTGGTCACGAGCCCAGGATCACCTGGGGCCACCAGATGCTAGAAGAGGCAGGAAGGACTTTCTTGCAGGGCCTTTGGAGGGAGCTGACACCTGTGTCTTGCGCTTCTGGTCTCCAGAACTATGAGGAAATAAGTCACCAAGCTCTGGGGTAATTTTCTACAGCAACCACCAAAACTCAGACACCAAGGAAAGTGGTGGGGGGTATGGAGACGGAAGGGGGCTGCAGAGGGCTTAGGAAGGACACTCAGGACCCCAGGGTGGGGTCCAGAGAATGGGGCACATGGCACTGGACCCCAGGGGAGGAGCTGGACCCTGCTGTTGGACCTGACTGCCATGGGCCTGGATTCCCAGGATAGCCTCTGAGGGTGTGAGGACAGGTGCGGGTGGGGCTGTGAGCCCTCCAGGCCCTCTGTGGCAGGGGAGGCTGAGGAGCTAAGGCGCAACAGGATTTGCTCCTCCTTAGGCATCCCCGAGCACCTCCTGTAAGCCAGACCCCAAGACGGATGGGTCAGGCAGACTCCTGGAGCGGGAGGTGCAGCAAGGGGTCCTATCCTTCCCAGGAGGACGTGTTCAGGGACTGGGCGTGAGCATCAAGGCCAAGGCCAGCAGGTGCTGCTGTGTGGGCAGGACCAGGACTCCATGTCCCTCCCAGCGTGGAATCCAGAGCCCGGGGTGCTCGCGGCACTGGTATTTTATCGCGTAAACACACACTGGGAAGGGTGGCCTGTGTCACAGTCCCTTCCACCCAGTGAAAGCTAGGTTCTTCAAGAGGGGCTTTGGGGAGCCAAATTCAGTCTCAGGAGAGGCTGAGCGATAACCCAGCTTCTACAGCTTTGACCTCGGCTACCCAAGGGGGGACACCACCAGGAGTGGCAGGGACTGGGGGATCCTTCCAGGGAGCCATGTTTGGCATCCCGTAGGGATCCCAGACCCCTGCCAGCCACTGACACACATCCACGACTTCCCAGAGAGTGTGTGCTCACATGTGGCTGCTGCAGCACACGCCTCCACTCAGACATCCAGTCTGGCTGCTGCCCTACCAGGCTCTGAGCTTGGGGGGTGCCGAGGGCAGGTGTGGCCTACCCAGCATGCATCCCCAAGTCATGAGCGTGCAGGCCAGCACCAGCCTGAGGTCAGGCAACACTAAACCTGCCATGCGCTGGGCGTTGTGGGCAGCTCCTGAACACTGCTCCATTCAAGGGGAGAAGCAGGGAGGCCCAGAGAGACTGATCTCGGGCTCCTCTTTCCTGTGTCCAGGGAAGCACAGGTGAAACCTGGGTGAGGAGAGGTGCCTGGACCCCAGGAGAACCCCTGGTCATCACAGGCCCCTCCTCCTGGGGTTCCCCTCGAGGTGGGGGTTGGGGGCAGGGGGCACGTTGAAGGAGGCACAGGGAAAGTCCTCAGCCCACAAAAGAGAGATGGAGGCGGCCAGTCAGGCGAGGAAAGCATGGGCTTGGGCTGAAGAGCCTGCTGCAGAGTCTGCCCGGTCACCACCACGGCGGACACCAACATCCCCTGGCAGGGCTGTCCCTGACCGCTGACTCCCTGAGCGCCCCATGGCCCACGTTCCCAGTCCCAGACTGGCAGACTGTAAGCCACTCTCCTGCCCTGAGCCCCGTGACTGGCCCTCCCTGGTTTGCCCCTTCCAACGTCCTCGCCCTAGCCAGAACGATGTCGGATATGGGGTTCCCATTGCTGAAAAATGGCCCAGCAAAGGCGCTAAGACAGTCCTGACTGCAGAGTCAGGCGCTGGGCACTTTCTGGAGCAGGCCCGGCTCTGAGGCTGGGACCCCAACCCTCGGGCGCACACAAATCGCGGCCTGTGACTTGATTTCGGGGGTCACCGACAGACCCTTCACACTATCCGTGAGCCCCGAGCTGGTGCTGTTACCCCAGTGTCACAGAGAAACCCTGGGGCATCATTGGTGCCCCTCCCGCAGGCCCCCCAGTTCCTGCAGGCTGGGACTGCTCGCCCCGCCCTCTGCCGCCCCTGC